GGCTCCTGTCTTTGGGGGGGGTGGGGGGGGGCAGGAGGAAGTTTGGGCCTGTTTTTCTGCATAGCTAATTTTTCACAATCCATTACACACCCAGCCTGCTATGGGGTGGGAAGAATCTGCGCCCCACACCTGTCATCGCTCCACGGGAATTTCGACACCCAAAGTTTCTCTCCACCGCCTTGAAACTCCCGGGTGGCTCCTGTCTTTGGGGGGGGGGGGAGGGTCCCAGAGAAGGGCTGAAGGACCGGAGGAAAGTCCCTCTTCTCCAGGGAAGACTGAAATCTCCCTCGAGGCTGGTGACGGCTGCTCTGAGTCGAATGCTAATTCCTCTTCGTTGGAATGTCCCATCCCACCCTTCTCTTTGGGGGAGTCTGCAGTTTCTGACACCCCCCGCCCCATATAATCCTCCCAAAAGTCAAGACTGAGCCAAGAATTCCCTGCTGCGTCTCCATCCCGACTCCCAGCGATGCAGCAAAAGGCAGCCAGAGGGCGGAGACGTCGCTTGGGGGCTTTTCAGTTCCAGAGGCAGAAGACCCCCCCTCACAAACAAGAGAGGGGCGGAGTCACTGGCCTACTTGGCAGAATCTCCTGCCCAACATCTGGGGTGGGGGGGGGAGACTTGGAGGTTGAGCAGATTGCCCTGGGAAGCCAAAGGACACAACATCTGGCGGCCTCCCCAAGCAGGCAGGCCTGGAGGGAGCAAGGCGTTCAGACTCGGAAGAAGATAAGCGGCTCACACCTGGGACACGCCAGCTGGCGGGTGAAGCACCTTGGGCTGGTCCCAGGCCTCCCGGGCCAGCTGCAGGGCGTTCCTTCCCCATCGAAGCCCTCAGAGCCAGGCCCTTCCTCCCTTTGCCCCCATCCTCTGAAGGGAGCCTGAGCCAGGTGGGGGCTTCCTTTCTCCACCCCAGCCCCTCAAAGCCCCCCCCCCAGGATTGTTAAAAGGCGAAGGGGCCTTGCTTAAGGCACCGTTCCCCCCCTCCCCCCCCCTGCTTGCTTCTTGAGGGAGTCCTTGGGGGGCCATCGCACGAGAGGCTCCCTCCATTCTTTTTCCCTTGGAGACCTTCTGATCCAAGAAGCTTCTTCAGGATTGACCGGAAGCGGAAGGCCTTCAAGGGAAAAAGCCAAGAGGGTCCCCCTGCCTTTGGAGAAGCCCCTTTGGGGGCCCTGAGGGTTTCCACAGGCCTCCCTTATGGCCGGTCCAGGCCGAGCTCCGTCCACTGCAATTGTCCACTCGCAGAGCAGTGGCGCCTGCTGGCCAAAGGGCGGCCCAGTGTCCCTTCCGAGAGAAGCCGGGGGAGAGAGTGGCAGCCCCCTCCCTCGTCTCTGGTGGGGGCCTCACCTGTGTTGTATGCCGTGGGCATCGCCGAGAAGGGCAGCCCCTGGGTCAGCAGGCTGGGCGTGGCCACCGAAACGACTGGGGTGGTCAAAGAATGTGTGGCTTGAGACACCATGAGCCTCTGGGCGTTCTGCTGAGGGAGGGAGAGAGAGAGAGAGAGAGAGAGAGAGAAGGAATGGGACAGGGAATCGGAAAGAGGGCTTTCAGTGGTGGGTCCCTCCGATGTTTGGCCCCATGGGGAAGGGCATCAGAGCCTTGTGCCATGGAGATGTCATGCCCGAACCATCAGCCAGCAGAGGTCCTCGTGGCGGCTGGATGCCATCCTGGGGATGGAGGTCTCTCTGCCCCTTAATGCTCCCCCTGCCCCCAGGCAGCCTGAGGGGAGGGGGGGGCGAGCAGGGCCAGGTGCAGCCCGAGAGCAGCTGGGAAGAC